CTTTTTGGTCAGATAAATACTTTCTATGAGGGAGACAGGTATCTTTTTAGAGACCATGTCAGCATTCCCTGCCAACGCAGAAGGATAGTCAGTCACATAGTGAGACTAAAACAACAACAACAAAAATGAACTGCTCGTGCACACACACACAGAAACACACCAAAAGTAAAAATGTTTATTGTTTTATCCAAAATAGTCTATGATTTTATAATTACTTATAGTTCTATTGCTCAGAAAAGTATGTCTCTTTTTTATATTTTTTAAAATAGTAAATTATGCATACTTATATATGAAAAAATAACCATACCATCATGTTAACATACATACTGATATTGGAAACAGAATTCAATAACAATCCATATTTAAATTTCTTTTTTTTTTGGAAAGTTGAGTTTTTTTATTTACTTTTTTGTTTCATTTTCTTTTATACGTTCAATCATATTATTTAGCTTACAAAGTGAATATTTCAACATGTGAACATTTATCCCTTGTCCAGTTGATAAAACTATAAAATATCTTCAACAGATAATACCACATTTCTTTGTCACATTAATGCTCTACCTCCCTATTTTTCTTCTAAATGTCCTTCCTCAGACCATATTTAAATTTCACAAAGAACATAAACAAAGTAGGGGGACACTAGCTCTAATTGTCACTTTTTATAATAGAGCATCATTATAATATATACAAAGGATAGTTAGTGATTATACTGATTTTATTACTTTTTAACACCATTTTATCTCCCTCAGAGTCAATGCAACAAAATAAAATATAATCTAAAGGAAATATGTCTTCATTATTCACAATAAAAAAAGGACTGCTGCATCTTTCAGGCCGGGGCATAATGCATAGAAGAGAGTACATCATGGTTCACGTGATCCAACAGACCATTTTGATTTTGATCCCCTAAGCTGATGTCATCCATATTGGTGACAGGACTATCTCCACAGGAGCTTTGATAGACTGAGTCATTTTTATGGCTTCTTTAAATTTCACTAAATAAGAAGGGACCACACACAAAGAACTGTGACAATTCATCTCTCTGCAAGTTACAGTTACAGGTTCTTTCTTTAGCATAAGGCGTACTTTCACGAGTACAGGGTAAAAGCATCGTTATAGTTTAAATATTGCTGGATTGATATTGGGCTGTTATAATGAAGATAAAACACATCAAAATCAGATTAGAAAATGTCCACAACTTCAAATAATGGAGCAAGTTCTTTTGCTAGACTGACAATAAGTCCTGTATTGGCATTGCTGCTGGCTATGAAACTCACTACCAAAGGTAAATGATGAAATTGAACCACCTGATAGGTGTTGAAGTAACAGATGACACTTTTCTTCTTTGAAAGCCAGATATATAACTGGACACCACATATAATGAGAAAAGTCTGAGTCTGACTTACAAAAAAGGAATGTAGAAATACCAATGTGATGTAATATATGAAAGGAATAAAAACAAATATGAAAATGGCCCTTGCAAGTACAGCATAATTATTCACTTGAAAAGTCTGGATAGAAGGCTCCTCTCTACAGATCCATGAGCTAAGGATTTAAACAAGGGGTGTTTTGTGTCTGAGACTGTGGAAGATGCAGTAATTTTGTGAAGGATGGTTGAAACTATTCACCTTGTGGAAAGGCCAGGTATTTCAGAGGATATTTGATGCAGGCTAAATGCTAGTTAAATTGTCCAGATTTTTGGGAGACTCTTCCAATTCTGAAGCTATGTTAGCACGCTCACAATCAAAACATCTCCTTTTTTTGGGTTCAGAAGCTTCCAGCTCCTGAAGAAGTTCTTCCGGTTTGACCTCAGAACATGTTCAGTATTAATCTTTATGCTTACTTCATCGCAAATTTAATTTAGCAACTGCCTTGTCTCACCTATCATTCTGAAAGATAAAAGTACATTTTGATCTATGAATGACTGAAAATTTTACTTCTAATAAATAAATGCAGTTGTTATGTTACATCAACACTCCATATCCTTCCTATTACATGTTCACAGATAGGGCTTAGCTGATATTGTAGCTCACATGCTAATGCGACTAAAATTTTTTTTCCTTTTTTTTTTTTCTTTTTCTGGAGAGGTTTTTGCTAAAGGGTGTGTGCACTCACCAGAAAGAGAGAGACAGAGAGACAGAAAGTGAGGAATCACCCCCCAGGGGGGATGGCCAAGCCACAATCCCTTCTCCTCCATTCTCCTCTCGGGATCTTGGGCACACACGCTCAAGCGCCCAGCATGAGTTTAAGTTGCTGGGTCCAGGACTCGAACTGCAGTTGACTACATGGGAGTCCAGCGACATAGCCATTATGCTAACTGCTGGTCTTGAAATTTTGTTTTTCTTTTTTAGAGAGATTTTTGCTATAGGGTATGGGTGTTTACCAGAGAGACAGAAAGCAAGAAATTACCCTCCAGGGGAGATGGCCTTACCATAATCCCTTCTCCTTGATTCTTCTCTCTGGATTTTGGGTGTGTGTGCGCGCGCGCGCACACACACACACACACACACACACACACACACACACATACACCTGGAATGAATTTCAAGCTTCTGGTTCTAGGGCTCAAACCACAATTGACCATGTTGGAATCCAGTGACATAATTGTTAGTCCACCGACTCATCCCAGAATTTTTGATAAATATATTAGAATATTGATATAAATAAATGTAATCAATAAAAAGAAGGAACCTCATGAAGGAACCCTGGCTAATGGTGGTGATGGTTGTGGTGGTAGTGGTGCTGGTGGTGGTATAGAAAATACTAGCAATACCAGTAATGGAGACTTACAAGAGTGCATTTAGAACAGTGTTTAAGATATTAAATAAGCAATGATGGACCAGCAAATAAATGAGTGAACACAGTGAGGGTAGGGGTGTTGAGAGTAGCAGAGGCAAAGATGGTCAGCACAAAAGTGATGGTGGTGTCCATGGTAATAGTAATGGATGAGAAATTTTCTTATGAAGAGTTTTTAAGACAAAACTCACTTCTGGAATGCCAATTGCATATTCTCCAAGTTTGTACTTAAATATGCAAGCTGGATTGTCAACCCTTATGAACAGCTAGTTGGGACTTGCAAAATTTCCAGTGACCCTGAGAAGGCAATGTCCCTGGGATTAGATTCCAGCGTCTAACAATGAAGGTTGCCAAGTAGAGATGAGTCACTTGAGAAATAGAGACGGTCTGATTTATTTCATTATGCCCATGTCTTCCTGTCCCAGAGGAATGTCACTGAGAGCTTAGATATTCCAGGGAGCACACAACGAGCAGCCCCAGAGAGGCCAGCATTTCCAAGAATATGAATATAAGTAGGGGAGTGCCTTAAGTAGAAAGGATGCTATGGAAGTTGCTGCAAGTTCCAGTGTCATGAACACAGTCAGGTGATGGACAGAGCTGGGATGATACAGCAGAGATGAGAGTAGCTGAGGGAGGGAGCCAGGTGAGTCTGTGTCCTTTCCTGGGTGACTGTGCCAGGGTGGCTTAGAAAAGCTCTAAGAACATTGATGTAGATCACCTATCTTCTCATCCATCCTAAAATTTTTCTTCAATGACATTTGAGAACCACAGACTACCAGGTTGTAAGGGCATTTATAAAACATCTCTTTAAACATCTTAAGTTTAGAAAAATGAAAATTGAGGAAAAGTAATAATGAGGCCTAAAATTTCAGTTGGATTTGTGGCAAAATTTCAGAAAACCAAGTACCAGAAAGAATGCTTTTATAACCCCATAAGGGCCTTGCCTCATCAGGTCTCTCCCTCCTGCACCTTCATTGAGAATTCCTGATAAAACTATTTCCTTCTGGGATCCTTTCTTAAAGTACACCTTGTCTGCTCTATAATTCTTTTTTTTTTTTGGAGAGATTTTCATTGTAGGGCGCGTGCGCTCGCCAGACAGATAGAGAGAGACATAGAGACAGAAAGCGAGAAATCACCCCCCAGGGGGGATGGTCACGCCGCAATCCCTTCTCCTCCATTCTCCTCTCGGGATCTTGGGCACGCACACACACGTGCCCGGCGTGAGTTTTAAGCCACCAGGTCCGGGACACGAACCGCGGTCAACTACGTGGGAGTCCAGCGACATAGCCATTGCGCTAACTGCTGGTTCCCTGCTCTATAATTCTTTATCTAACCCTAAAGTTCTGTTCTCTGAGAAATGTACTCAGAGTATCTACATTTCTCTCTTCTTCCATCTTTTCCTTCTTCTGCCTTTATTGAAGAGATTCCTAGTTTGAAAGGTTTCCTAAAGAAGTCTTGGAGGTCATTTTTAAAAAAAGTATTTGTCTCCTTTGCACAGTTTAGTTCAGATGTATTTTTTGAACATAGACTATATGATATGGTGGATGTTATGAAGTGTCATGGGACTTTTTATTAGAGATTGTAAGATGAGTTTCGGAATTTTCCTGTCTCTCCTGTATCTTGGCAGGGTGAGTGGGAGAAAACCCTGAGGCCTGAGACAGGTGCCACGGTATATTAAATAGGAACAGTGTTGGTGCATGAATAAAGGAACCTCAACTCTAACTGTGTCTGAAACAGATATTGGACAAGTCACTTCTGCCTTCTAGTTTTCAGTTCATCTGTTCTTTTGTTTTGTTTTGTTTTTGCCATAGGGCACATACACTTGCTAAAGAGAGACAGAAACAGGGAAAGTGAGAAATCACCCCCTATGGGGGATGGCCACACTGAAATTTCTTCTTCTGAAATATCTGTGGGATTTGGGCACACATGCACATGCCTGGCATGATTTTTAAGCTACTGAGTATGGGATTCAAACTATGGCCAGCTATATGGGAGTACATGGGCCTTAACCACTACACCACCTGCTGGTCTCATTTAGTTTATCTTTTGGGAAGTGAGAGGTGATTTGAAAACTTGGAGATTCTTTTTAGGCTGTGTATTCTAACCATTTGGCTCTGGAAAAATTTCTTGAGTGAAAGACACTTGATATTTCTTTTGTGAAATGGAAGTTTATCTTCTATCTTTACCCTTTGTTCCTAGGAATCATGGACCATGTCAATCACACCTGGACCCAGAGTTTTGTCCTTGCCGGTTTTACAACCACTGGGAACCTGCGACCCCTTGCCTTCTTGGGCGCCCTGTGCATCTATCTCCTCACCCTTGCTGGAAATTTATTCATCATCATCCTGGTTCACGCAGACTCAGGACTCTCTACACCCATGTACTTCTTCATCAGTGTCCTGTCTTTCCTGGAGCTCTGGTACGTCAGCACCACGGTGCCCACACTGCTACAGACCTTGCTCCGTGGGTGTTCACCCATTTCATCAACCGTGTGCTTTTTTCAGGTGTATATCTTCCACTCCTTGGGCATGACCGAGTGCCATTTGCTGAGTGTCATGGCGCTGGACCGCTATCTTGCCATCTGCCAGCCACTCCGCTACCATGAACTCATGAGCAGACAGATGCAGTTGCGGCTAGCTGGGGCTACATGGGTGATCGGTTTCTCAGCTTCACTGGTGCCAGCCAGCCTCACAGCATCTCTGCCCTTCTGCTTTAAGGAGGTGGCCCATTACTTCTGTGATCTGGAACCACTCATGCGTTTGGCATGTGTGGACACAAGCTGGCATGCTCACATTTATATTGTAGTAATTGGCATGATCACTATGTGTAATCTCATGTTCATTTTGGGGATGTATGGGGGCATCCTAAAAGCCGTGCTGAAGCTGCCCTCAGCTGCCAGTCGTGCTAAGGCCTTCTCCACCTGTTCCTCCCACATGACTGTAGTGACACTCTTCTTTGGCTCTGTCTTCATTGTCTATGTGGGGCCCTCTGGAATCCAGGCTGAGGGCAGAGACAAGCTTATTGCCTTAGTATATTCTCTTTTTACCCCCTTTTTCAATCCAATCATCTATACCCTTCGCAACAAGGAGGTGAAAGAGGCTGTCAAGCGGGTCTCTCAGAGGATTAGGACCGTGTGGAAGAGATCCTGAGGTCATAGACCATTCACTTGATAATTGTAGAGTTTAGTTGGTCAGTCAACTAAATTGCCTTATTAAGTGACCAAGCAGTTAATTTTTGCACTGACAATGTGCACGAACTAATGGACTTAGTCTTGGATTGGGACCAATTCAAAAATGTAGGAGGAGTAGGAATATGGTCTCTGGACCTTCAGATGTCTAATTAAGACACCACAAATCACAGTTGAAAACAGCAATACCAACAACTGCAAAAATCCCTTAGTAATCTGTTGGTGTTTGTGTGTGTGTGCATGTGAAGGATAGAAAAGCACTTGTGGATAAAAGAGTCAAGTTTCCAAGAAAGTCAATTCATGAATTTAGTAAGAGAATGAGAATATATAACTTAAAATAAGATTTTCCTGAATGATAAAAATGTTCCTATTGTAAGGGCTGGCCCTATAGAACAATGGTTAAGTGTTATGCACTGAGAACTGGATGTACACAATCAACTATGCTCCAAATCCTGGCCATGATGGCTTGAAAAATATGCTACTGGTGTGTGCACGTATATCCCATATACTGACTGGAGAGATCAATGGAGGATGGATTGTGAAGTGACCATGCCCCACTGAGGAGGACTCTCTTTCTCTTTCCAGCAAGTGTATATACTATCTGGAAATAAAAAATAAATTTTCAGATCGTAACCCTAAAATGTTCAGTCACATACACTATAAATACAAAGAACTTAAAAGTAAATTATGGCGTTTGTGTAAAGAAAAATATAGAGAGAGCAAGAACATTTCTGATAGTAACAAAATACATAAAGTACCTAACAATCTGTTGAAGAGTTTCTGAAAATTCTTATAAATTCTATTCAAGGCATTATTTAAGATTATATGTAATAGAGTTATAGAATACATTTATGAGTGGGAAATCAATATAAGAAAACAAAAATCTCTTCTCCTTAAGACCTACTGATAGGGACCAGCACTTAGCGTAATGGCTATGTAGCTGGACTCCCACGTAGTCGACCGTGGTTAGAGTTCTGGACCTGGTGGCTTAAAACTCACACCGGGTGCATGTGTGTGAGTGCCCAAGATCCCAAGAGGAGAATGGAAGAGAAGGGATTGCGGCGTGGCCATCCCCCCTGGGGGGTGATTTCTCGCTTTCTGTCTGTCTCTCTCTGTCTGGCGAGTGCATGTGCCCTATGACAAAAACCTCTCAAAAAAAAAAAAAAAAAAACCTACTGATAAAATAAAACAACATTCCTGAAAATTAGGTAATCTCTTCTTAAGATCAACAATATTCATAATATTCAACAGGAAGACTGGGTCAGCAGATGTCATAGTGGTTAAGACACAGTGTGTGTGTGCTCAAAATCCTGAGAGGAGAATGAAGGAGAAGGGATTGTGGTGTGGCCATCCACCTGAGGGTTATTTCTCACTTTGTCTCTCTCTGTCTTCCTAATGAGCGCATGTGCCCTATAAGAAAAATATTTCTCTCTCAAAAAAAAAAAAAAAAGTGAGGGAGGAAGAGGAGAAAAGGTGTCATATGGTAATGATAGAAGTTTGTACCTGCCTGACAGGATCCTGGGCAAATGCCTTATTCATCAGAACTGCGATCTGAATTCCAGATGGCCATATGGGATCTGGCTCACTTAGCCCAGGGGTTAACTTCTGAGCTGCAGAGATGACCCCCTCATAAAGGAGAATATTGCTGTGAAGTAAATTAATAATCTTACACTAATTTTTTTATAATCTTGAGGCAATAGATAAATTACTAGAAGAATAGGTTGACTTAGCCTGCCAGCATCATCCAGTGTGCCCCACTACAGAAGTCCCTGTGAGTAATTCTTACCCTTTCACACTGGACATGCTCTTTGTTATTCTAGAATCAATAAAATTATATTTCACAATCCACCACAGACATGAGCATTTATATCTTACATATAAATACATGCATTACCAAAGTTAACAGCAATACTGTCCTGATGTCTTTCCTTAAATGCATAGAATCAACACAGTTAAGATTTGGGCTTAGGTTGGTTTTGCTAGGAAGAATCATTATTAATCCTATCGAGTACTTCACTTCAATTTGACTAGTATACACAACTGTCTAGCTTACAAGACCTTATATAATTATATGTTTCTCCTGTTAATAATAATTAAAAGATTTGCAGAATAGTCTAAGAAAATTTTATTTGCTTCTTAGTTTCCCTGCCCCTATAGCTCATTTCCTTCTTATCAGGTAGAATATTCTGATTTTTAATTATTTTTCTTGTAAAGGAGGCTTACATGACAATTTTGTTGTAACCACTGTACTCAGTGAGGCTTGCTGCAGTTATCTCTACCAATCCTTAGTCATGTGAAGGACACTGCCCGAGTGTACTAAGTACCAGGATTCATGGTGGATGTAAAGCTCCAAAAGTCTATACTTCAAATATACATTGAAGCTCAAATAAGAGAAAACTTAATAGGAAAATGTGCATTTTCTCAAAACAGTCTTCGAGTTTTTTAACTGGATGAATGCTTTCTGGGAGAGGAAGAGGTATTTTTTCAGGGACCTTGTTATATGATCAGTTACTGGAAATGGAATGATTTTTAAGCCAGATAATGGTATGGCAGTTGAAGTGGCCAGTCCCCACATAGTGAATACACAATTGATGTCCTTAACCCAAAGGCTTGAAAAACATGCCAGCTACATGTGTGTCTATGTCCAAAATCCTGAAAGGAAGGAGAAATGAATAAAAAAGATTGTGGTGTGACCATCCTTCACGGGGAGTGCTTTCTCACTGCCTCTCTTCAAGGGCACACACCAAATAGCAATTTTTTTTAAAAAAATGGGGTGAATTGATAGATACAAGTGTTCCAAAAATCCATAACAGGAGAATCTGATCTATCCGGGTTGCAAATGTGTGTACACATGTATGAGAAAAGGTAGAGGAGTCAAACAAAACTTTTCTTAATCAATTTATTCAACAAACAGTTATAGAATGTTAACTTCATGCAAGAAAAAATACTAGGTACTGGATAACGTCACTGAAAAAACGATCTTCACTTACCTAATAATTTATCAATGAAAAGAGAAAAATAAATATGTAAGTATTCATAAAAAAAAGTGTAGAACCTGCTATGAGAAACATAATCCCACATAGTTGACCTCTGTTTGAGTCCCAGACCCAAAAACTTAAAACTCATGCCGGTCATGTGTGCATGTGTGCCCAAGATCAAGATCCTGAGAGGAAAATGGAGGAGAAAGGATTACTGCATGGCCATGCCCCAGGGGGATGATTTCTTTCTGTTTCTCTCTGTCTCTTTGATGAGTGCATGTGCCCTATAGAAAAAAAGTCTCTCTAAAGAAAACAAACAAGCAAACAAAAACATTACTAGTGGAGAACAGTAGAAACACTTGAATACGCTGGAATAGGTAAAAATTTCTTAAACAAAACCCTAAGATGCAGGCAACAATTTTAAAAGTATGTAAGTGGCATTATAAAAAGCTTCTGCAGAGCAAAGGAAATAATAAATACAGTGAAAGACAACCCATGCAATGAGAAAATAATATTTACAAACTATACTTCAGATAAGGGATTGTTAGCTAGAATATACAGAGAACTCAAACAGCTTAATTGGAAAAAAAAAAAAAAAAAAAAAAAAAAACCTATGTGGAGATTCCTCAAAAAATTATGAATAGATCTACTATTATGACCCAGTAATCCCACTCTTTGGTATTTACTCAAAGGACAGGAAAGCAATTAGTCAAAAAGACATTTGTGCATCCATGTTGACTACAGCATTATTCATAATTGCTAAGACATAGAATCAAACTAAGTGTCCAATGGCTGACTACTAGACTGAAAAAATGTCACATATACACAATGAAATATTTCTCAGCCATAAGGAACAAGGAGACTCTGTCATTTGATATGAATCTAGATTTAATCCAAGTGAAGTAAGCCAGACAATGAGTCAAACAGTGTATATCCCTACTCCAAATACACTGAATGTCTCTGCTCTACGGTAGAAATGGAAAACTTTAAAGATATAATAGTATAGAGGACAAGTGTAGATACCAGAGACTATATAGGAGGAAGGGAAGATATGAGAGGTAGGTGGGAGTGGCCTAGGAAAAGAGTATTTAACAGACAAAAGAATGTAAGACGTAAGGTTCTTTGTTGAACTTTTTTTTTTTTAAGAGGTTTTTGCTATGGGGCATGTGCACTCGCCAGACAGAGAGGCAGAAAGTGAGAAATCAACACCCTTAGGGGGGGATGGCCACTCTGCTATCCCTTCTCCTTCATTCTCCTCTCAGGATCTTGGGCATGCATGCACACGTTCCCACCGTGAGTTTAAATCACTGGATCCAGGACTCGAACTGCAGTCGACTATGAGGGAGTCCAGCAACATGGCCATCACAGCTGCTGATCCCCTTTGTTGAACATTTTTTATGTAGCAATATCCTTAATTTGATTGTCACACACTGCATGCGTGAAAAGCCATGTTGTATGCCATAAAGATGTAAACAAGTGTAAATGAGAAATTATAAAATAAAATTGAAAAAACAAATTAAAAGAAGAAGGTTTGGAAGGCAATATTTATACAGTGTGGTTAGGTAAGATTTCTTGGAGGTGATGTTAAAATGACTACTAGAGGGGAGTTATTATCATGAAAAGAATTCAAGAACAGTAACACATTTTGTTCTAGAGGAGTTTCTAGTGAAGAGAAGTGTGATTTAAAAAGTTAGGGCACTAGGACCAGCAGATGGCATAATAGTTATGTCACTGGGCTCCCACTTAGTCAACTGTGACTTGAGTCCCAGACCCAGTGGCTTAAAACTACACCACACACATGAGCCCAACATCCTAAGAGAATGGAGAAGAAGGGATTTCAGAGCAGCCATTCTCCCTGGGGGTGCTTTTTGCTTCTTGTCTCTCTGTCATTCTGGTAAGTGCACATACACTATAGCAAAATTCTCTCTTAAATAAAAAAGTTAGGGCATTTTACTTTTAAGTGATATATCTGTAACCTTGTTGG